ATTTTTAGGGCCTTGTGCCAACGCCACGGGCGCATTTGCTGAGGGCCAACACTGCCTAGAGCCTAGAGCGCCTAAGCGGCTTCTAGGAAGACGAGTAATTCGAATATATTGTCACCACTGCACTTTTCTCACTCGGAGCTGTTTGTTATTAAATTATTATAATCCCAAACTAGTCAACTACATATGTTACATGGTCATTTGAGTAAATGGTTGGAGGAATATATATAGAAGATGAGAACAGCCGAGCAGGCAATAAAAAAATCACTCGCCCAAGTTGAGTGTTAACTCTACCAAGTTAGGTGTTAACTCAGCCGAGTTGGGCGCTGACTCGGCCGAGTTAGGCCCCAACTTAGTGCTTAGGGTGCCTAGTCAGTTGTTTAGTCAATTGGATGACTAAAAGCCGCCTAGGGCTGAAATCGCCTCGGCCTAGGGGAGCCTAGCGCCTAGGCCGATTTTTACAACACTAGAAGTATGTATCATTTTAATTATAATTTAGTTTCATTTGATAATATTGTTATGTTTTTTAGTTTCATTTTTACACACACTAGTTCCATTTTAACAATAGCAAAGTATCATTTTAATTTTATTACAGTTTCATTTGACAATATACATTATTACATTAGCTCTAGTATTGTTATGTTTTGTAAGTGTACAAATGATACACATTAAATCCTTTTTATAATATTGACTAATTTATTTTTCAAAAGGGGAATTTAATTTAGTTATAATATTTGAATCGACTCCTATCTAGGTATAATTATCAGTTTTTGGTCTCTGGATATGTTGGAACAGAATCAGCACATATTATTCAATGATCTTCTAACTAATTGCAGCTGGTCAAATTTATTTATTTAGCATTATTTAATTTAAGTTGATGCCATTTATTAGTAAGATGTGATCAACATTCTTTGGGGGAAGATGGTTACGTAAAAGTGATTATATAAAAGGTGGATTCTCTATCATCTCATTCACGATTTTCAAGAGACAATATTCAGTGGAAAAGACTATCTATATTACATCTATATTACTGGTTATTATATTATTATGAAGTGGTGATCTCGCTGGATCAGATGGCCTGGAACAATGTCAGCAGAATCAGCGCTTGAAGCAGAAGTTGGCATGCATGTACCTCTCTGTAATTAGATGTTTTGAGAATTTGAGTTGGTTGTTGTGGCTAAGGCCGAGTGCATGTATACAAAACCCCCTTGTAATTCCTTGTAATCCTGGTGAACATCTAGTGGATTGAGCTTACGTGAGTTGACCCGCAGACGTAGGAGGTTTCGCTCCGAACTGCGTGATCATTTTTTGTGTTCTTGATTTTTATTTCTTACCTTTTAATTTATTTTGTTCATCCTAAAATGACATAATTAAAATGGTACGTTAATTCCTAAATTAAAAACCAAGTTGAACTTTAGTTATTTACTTACATTCAAGGCCCACGGCACAATTTCATGTTTGCAATTAACATATGTATTTGTAGTTAACATACATATTATGTGCCTTCAATTTATTTACATTCACCATCTATAACTATGAAATGTAAGCATATAATATATTAATTATAGACACATAATCTGAATGTCTTTTTAGATCAGGTCTACAAAGTAAGGTGGACCTGATCCAGGGTATAATTTATCTTTATAACAAGGGATTACTGATTTATTTTGACAATGCTACGCATCAGAGCTGTGGTTGGCAGGGCAAGAATGACAATATTTTGGACCAAAAGTAAACTTTTTTTTTTTTTTTTTTTTTTTAATGTTTATGCTTGATTTCAAACAGACTTGTGCAGATAGGGATCGATGGCTCTCAATGTCAGCACCTCTTACTTTGAGCTTGCGTTGAGTCTATTCAAAGGTCATCTTTTTCGGCTTTCTTTTAATAACGTTTCGAGAAAGGCACAGCTTCCTGGTGATTTCGTCTTTCGCGGGCTCTACTTCTTGAAAACTGACGGAATTCAGCGGAAAATCAGTCTGAACAAATTGAATTGGAAGGAGCCAAGTACTATTTCGTGTATTATATTGATGGTTAAATTAGTTGCATGGGAAACGAAACCCATCTTATGTGGCAATTTATATCATGGACCAGGGTTCACATAACATTATGAATCCTGTATTAAAACGAGGAGGTACAGAATTCATACTCAACACAACACAAAAAAAATCACAGCACAAAGTACATACATATGTTATATATTTACTTATTTTTTAGATCTAATTTAGGTACATATTTATATTCGTAGGCATAAAATTTCGCAATACAACACACAAAAATTCATAACATAAAACATAATTACTATTTTGTTTCATGTACAGAATTCATAGTCTTAAAATACAAAATTTCATAACACATGACACAAAAACTCATAATATAAATACATGTACATGCACCAAGGTCCACAGAACCCTGGTCCATGGTATAAGGATTGTGTTATGTGGGGTTACAAAACCAAACTTTTCCATGGCTATGGTTTCCGGTGGAACTGGGTTCCGTCAGAAATCATAGCTATGGTTTCTGGCGGACCAGTTCCGCCAGAAGCTTTAAAAAAAAAAAAATGAAATAGAAGCGGCGGAAAATGACTTCCACCCAAATTTGGCGGAAGTCATTTTCCGCCAAATTGAGCTCATTCCCCAGTCAACAAAAAATATTTTCCGTTGACTGGATTTTCCAGGTGTAGCCAAACACCAAAAACCCGGAAAATGATTTCCAAAAGTCATTTTCCGGATTTTCAAACACAGCCTGATAAGAAAGTCCAAGTCAACTTCGTGTCTTACCCGAGAATATAGGCTTTTACATTCTTCCCAACATATGCTTTTACATGTAAACAGTGAAAGAAGTGAAAGTAGTACAAATATTCAAATAACAATGAACTTAACCATTGTTTGTATGGGTTTTGCTAAATGGCCTGGTTTAGTATTCCCTCATACCTATTCTGGGTTTGCTTCGTTTTGTTTCAATCACTTATCTTTGTTCATGGAGAAGGCCTATCCCAATCCCAATCCCAATCTTTCTGCCCAAAACAATTCAACTGTGGCAACCTCATAAACGTCACTTTTCCTTTCACCAACAAGTCACAACCCAACTGCGGATTGCACAGCTTAGATTGTGCTGCCAGGCCATTTCCCAGAGTTAAGTTTGGAGAACAACAATATGATATTAGGAATATTAGAGGTGAAATTATGTGGCTCATCAACCCCCTTCCACAGAGTTACTTTCTGGAACAAAATTGCAACACTTTTTACAAGAATTTCTCATTTCCCAGCTCTGCTTTGATTTCCTTTATGCCTCGTTTGCATAAGTTCTACAGGTGCGAACGTAAGTCGAATGTTAGCTTGCAGAAGATTGGTCATTACTTCAATGGATTTGCGAGCTATAATAACTGCAAAAACTTCGTCCTGTACTATAGAGAGGACCGCAATGATACTGCCCCAGGCGGTAACCTTCCTGCAGAGTGTTCAGTCATTCAATTGCCATTCAACTCCAGAGCAAGTGGCCTGTTTCAGAAGTTAAATTCTTCGATTTCTGTACAATGGGTGGTCTCTGAAACTTGTGAGGATTGCCATTATAAAGGGGGGAGTTGCCTAATTGACCACAATAACAAGACTATTTGCTCTGGAGGTATAATTAGGACCTGTATTTACATGATATTCTTAGGAAAGTTGGTGTTGGGCAGAGGCCGGTGAACGGCCAACTCCAGGTGGCTAGGGGATTGTTTGGTCAAGGCTTGGATGGCCAAGTCTAGTACCCTGCCTCTTATAATATGGTCAGAAATTTAAGTAAAATTATGTATTTGATATAGCTTTTGGCGGAATACTAAACCCTTGATCTAACAAGTGGTTCGAGCCAGTTAAAACTGGTGGCTAGGAGATTGTTGACAGAGGTTTAATGGGTCAAGTCCAACACCCTAGCTTGCCCCTACCTTTTAGGGCAATGGTAAACCAGTTGGGTTTACAGAACAACTAGTGTCCTTTCTTATCTTGAAAGGATTCTACATTTTCATTGTCTGTGACTGCTGAGTTTGGGAAAGTTGTGTGTTTTTCATTTCTGGACATTAGTCAACTCTTACCTTATTACTTCAGTTGCAGGAAAAAGTATCAAGTCAAAGGTCATTCTGGCAACAGGTAAACATCTTTTATAAGCAACATGAATCTAAGTATCTTCTATATATAGATAAAAATGATATCAGCATCTGTGTTTTCAGTTTTTGGTGGGGTAATATTGATCCTGGCAACAAGTTTGGTGGTCATGTATTTTCGGAATCACAAGAAGGGATGTTTTGGTTCTTCGTCATCCTCAAAACGTGACCTTGAGGGAGGCAGCAAGTACTTTGGGGTTGCGGTTTTCTCCTACTCCGAACTTGAAAGAGCCACAAACAACTTTAATTCTTCAAAAGAACTCGGAAATGGAGGATTTGGAGCTGTTTATCACGGTACGCCATCTATAGAAACAAAGTATTAGTGGTGTCTGTTGAGCATATATAACCATTAATGTGCAATTCAACTATCAGTTTAGGCTTTTAGTTGAGATGGAGCACATGCTTCAATTGTGTCATTTGGAAATCTAGCGAAATCTTGTATGTTGTAACCAGGTAAACTTCGAGATGGAAGAGAAGTTGCAGTGAAGCGGTTGTATGAGCACAACAGCAAGAGAATGGAGCACTTCATCAATGAAATAAAAATCCTCACCAATCTAAGGCATCAAAATCTTGTAACCCTTTATGGCTGCACTTCGAGGCGCAGCCGGGAACTCCTCCTTGTTTATGAATACATCCCTAATGGAACAGTTTTTGATCATCTCCACGGGGAAAGGGCAAACGGTGTACCCCTCGCGTGGCCAATCCGAATGAACATTGCAGTAGAAACCGCTATCGCACTTGCTTATCTCCACGCTTCTGACATAATACACCGTGATGTCAAAACTACCAACATTCTTCTCGACAACAACTTTCGTGTAAAAGTTGCTGATTTCGGGCTCTCAAGGCTTCTCCCGTATGACGCCACTCATGTCTCCACTGCACCACAAGGGACACCTGGATACGTCGATCCAGAGTATCACGAGTGCTATCAGCTAACTGATAAGAGCGACGTTTATAGCTTTGGAGTCGTCCTGGTTGAGCTCATATCATCGATGCCCGCTGTGGATATAAGTAGACATAGAGACGAAATCAACCTCGCGAATCTAGCGGTGAACAAGATACAAAGACGTGCGTTTAATGAGTTGATCGATCCATCGCTAGGGTTCGAGACAAACACCGAAATAACGAGAATGATCACTTCAGTGGCAGAGCTAGCATTTCAATGCTTGCAAGGCAAGAAAGATTTGAGGCCTACAATGGATGATGTAGTGGAGACACTGAAGGGGATTCAAGGAGGTTATGAGTTCAAAGAGGATGCAATAAATGATGAGACAAATAAGAATAATACTACATTGGAATCAGAAGATGTTGTCTTGTTGAAGAGGATCAGTAGGTTCCCAACTTCTCCAACTTCAGTGACTGATAAGTGGACCAGTTGCTCTACTGCAACCAGTAACAGTAGATGAAATTGTTATATGTTTAGAAAGTTGATTTACATTAACTAAACCTATCAGATTTTTTATTTTTTATTTTTGGATTAGCTTTATTTTCATTTAGTATTTAGCATGTTATATGTGACCAACCACTCTCTTTTGTTTGATGAAAATGATAACAAGTAATATATACGCCAAGGACCTTATTGTCTAATGGTACCAAATTACTCCTTGATCAAGTGGGAGGTTATGGGATTGAGCCTCAGTAAAGATTCTGTAACTCTAATTTTGGACCGGAACCGCTGGTACAACAACTTGCCTAACGGTTTGGTTAACATATCAGCTACTTGATCAAGAGCGATGACGGTTGATACCTGCTACGCACAGAAACCAAAAAAAGAATTATTTTCTTAAATCAACGTTTCTCTGCCAACAGTAGTTGCAAAAAAAAAAAAAAATGACGAACCAACGGTGTCCGAGACCAGTTTCGCAGTTGCCGGTGAGATGTGATCAAAATCGACGGGAAAATCCGGTGAATCTCTGGCTATCGATCTCAAGCAGTAGATAAAAAAATGAAAAAAAAAATTATTCTTTTTCAGATGGAACTGAAATTGTGCTTAATTCATTCAGAATAAACGTGACAAGTTTCTCAATTATATATGTTAGGAATATTTGTAATAATGAATTAGATTTAATTTGCAACTGAGAAAATTGGGAGGTTGGGAAATTGGGGCATTAGTTCATGTTCATCCTCTTTGAACCCATTATAATTGATTGTTTGCAGGGACGGAGCCAGCATGGGAGGGTGCGGGGGGCCAACGACGATAGAAGTTTACTAAATCAAATACGTTGATATCCATTTAACATATTTCAACATAATCAATATATTATAAATTTACTAAAATTTAGACCTAGATCACAATCCGCGCACTCTACAATATACCATAATCTGTCAACAAATTACGCATAATAACCAGAAAAAAAAAAAAAACAAAAGAGCTAAGAATATGCAGTAAAAGAGGAAGAAGTGGCAAATGAAGAGGCGGTTAGTTGGTAACCAAAAATGGATTGACTTCTTGCTCTTCCTCATCGAAAGGGTTGAGATCGGCTGGCTGACTTATGATGTAATTAAAACCTTCAAATTCGCCAAAAAAATCCTCAAAAAAAAAAAAAAAACTCTCTAGAAAAACTAATTAATTCAAAAATAAATCAGTTTTGAAGGAACACTAGAGTAATTCATCAAAATTCAAATGATTCAAAGATTCAAAAAGAAAAGGGAAAAATTACTGTAGACTTGTAGTGTGAAGAAAAAGATGTGAACTGTTGTCTACTTGTCTGCTATGAGATTGAAAGCCAACAAAAATATGTATAAAATTTACTCTAAAAGCTTGATTGAAGGGGACAAAACATTGAGTCACCGTGATTTATATAAGGAAATGAACTGTTATGTATTGATGAAGAAGCTAACATGTATAAATAGTATATACAGGAGAACAAGTAGCTAAGAAGTTGTAACCACTACTCTAATATACCTATTCTAAAGGAATATAATTTGAATAAGTATAAACAGAAAACATCAACCACATATATTCTTAACATGCCCCCGCAAGATTGAGGATCCGTCGGAGACTCCAATCTTGGACCGAAATTGGATAAACAAGCGACGACCAAGGGGCTTGGTTAAAAGAGCAGCCAGCTGCGCAGATGAGGGAAAATGTTGTACAACCAGCACACCAGCTGGAACCAAACCACGAAACGGGAGTGGAAAACGGAGGCTTAACGAAATGGATTTGCGTCTCGTGGACTTCCAGGAAATGCGATTGTCGCCCAGATACACCAAATATGCGGTGGTAGAACGGCCATCAGTGGTGCAACCATCAGAGTCAGTGAACACTCGTAGAGACAACGTAATAAAGAAAACCATCAACAGACTTGTCTGTCGTTCCCCATACATCAGTGTAAAGTAACTGTAAGGGTTTTGTGCTAACGAGAGTGCTCTTAGAAAACGGCAATTTGTGACTCTGGTGTACATTGCAAGACCAACAACGAAACTGACGTAGAGAGGCAGCAGAAACTGGAATTGTGCAGTGTTGCAACACGAGTTGTAACACCGTATTTGATGGATGTCCCAACCGGTGGTGCCATTCAGACATAGATGGCAGGTGCGTGGCATTCATTTGAGGCTCATAAGAGAGAGTATTGTAGTACACACCATTAACGTTCGGTCCCCGTAACAATGCCATCCCGGTTTGAAGACCCTTCACGACAAAATGAGACGCAAAGAGCTCAACAGACACACGGTTAGCTTTGCAAAGTTGTGAAACAGAAACTAAACTTTTGTGTAGCTGTGGAGCGTGCAAGACATTTTCTAGACTAAGGGCAAAAGAAGGGGTGGGAATTGTGGCATGACCAATGTGAGATATGTGTAAAGAGTTACCGTCACCCAAGCGTATTTGGTCCGGACCATTGTACTTGGAGAATGACCGCAAAGGAGCAGTAGTAGGAGTGATATTGGCAGTAGCCAACACGGTTTGACGTGCTCGGTCATCGGCTTGTAACTGACGTTCATGATCAATGAGAACATCGGATAGTTTCGCTAAGGAAATAGGCTTCTGTCAGACATAAACAGCGAAGAAGATTGAATTATATTCATCCCCGAGCTGCGTTAGAATGTACACGACAAGGTCTTCAGCAGAGACCGGGGACTACGCCAACGCGAGTGCATCAGCGATGGATCGCATGTCATTCAAAAATACAGTAATCGACCGAGTACCTCTCGGATTTTGAGTGAGCTTGGCTTTGAGGGAAAGTATACGACATCGAGACGCACTAGCGTAAGTAGTGGCTAGGCATTGCCAAGCATCATAGGCTGTCGAAGCTGAAGACACGAGAGGTTGAACCGAGTCAGAACAACTCTCTAAGAGTGCACTGACGATGATTTAGTCTTGACGAACCCAAAGTAAATAATCTGGGTTTGTGGCTGTTTGAGCCGAACCAGAAAACTTAGGCGGTTCTTGGATAGAACCATCAACATAGCCATGGAGGTTGAAGCCAATGAGTGTAGAGTGAACCTGGCGCCTCCAGACTGGGAAATTTGTTGAGGTAAGTGTAATGGGAAAATTATATGTGGCAGAAAGGTAAACGATATCAGTAGTGGCAGCTATTTGATAAGGGGAGAAAGAAAAAGGAAAAAAAAAAAACCTTCGTAGGAGGTTCTGGCTCTTGATACCATATAAGGAAATGAACTGTTATGTATTGATGAAGAAGCTAACAGGTATAAATAGTATATACAGGAGAACAAGTAGCTAAGAAGTTGTAACCACTACTCTAATATACCTATTCTAAAGGAATATAATTTGAATAAGTATAAACAGAAAACATCAACCACATATATTCTTAACAATTTACACCCTCCCAAATACTCTGTCGGTCCGGGGTGTGGGGGGACCCTTAGGGTTGGGGATTCAATCTTTTGGGAGAAGGGGACAAAACATTTTGATGAGGGGGGAAATTTTTACACTTTCCACTTTCCTAAGTGGTATTATAATATTAAAAAAAAAATTGGGAGGGGGGCCAAGGCCCCATGCACTCTCCATGTGCCTCCGTCCCTGATTGTTTGGTTGCATCAATCTCAATCATGTACTTACGTTCATCATTAGAGACGATAATGGTGTCTAAGTTTCTCATTGTCAGCGCTTCAGTAGACAGTCAACCATAGATAGCTTTTAAAAACTTTCCACGTTAGATATTTTAAAAAAGTAAAAAAATACACACATGCGAATCTAGTCAATAAAAACTTAAAGTTTACCTGTTAAAAATATTAGTTGCTACTTTTTTCAGGTTCGTAGATGATTTTGGAGTTTTTTTTTTAGTTCAGTAGCTTAATTGTTATTTCTCAAATAGTTTTGATAGATACCCAAAATGGACATCCGGCTGGGAATATAAGGCCAGGCGGTCAGGCACGAATAGGGCACCACACTTAGCAGAAAGGGGCAACACCCGCGGCTCCCGGAAGAGTACAGGGGGGCCCTAGCCAACCGGTCCTCATTAATCGACCACCGACTACTGACCTCGGCGAAGGCCAGTCGGTCTGAGCAGAGTAAGTAGCCGCGACAGCCGGCTTGTCCCAGACCGAACACCCCATAAGATTCGGTTGGGCGACCAGGCTCCGTAGGCAGCGCGTTCCAGGCTGGGAACCATTCAGAGAGTCAGTCAGGCCATCAGGCTATGCGGACAGGACATCTTCGCCCGGGTATGGCAACCCCTCGGAGACACCTCCTCTGCAACCAGGATACTCCCCGACCAAGTACTCCCCAGAGGCGGTTGCAGATATGTTTCACAGAGATTTACTTTCCGCATTCAATGCAAGTAGTTTCCTTTATTATTTTAGGCAACTAGGGCGTAGTAGCGGCCAACTTCCATAGTTGATTCGCCCTCATACGTCAGTGATTGCTATAATCTGCAAGCGCACAGAGCCAATTACAGTATAAATTCCTGGAGTATTCCAGGGTCGATCCCACGAAGAATATTTATGAATTTTAAGCAGAGGGAAACTTTCAATTGAGAGAAGACTAGAGATTTGGGGTTCACCTATTAGATAATTGACTAACTCTCCTAAGTATTGATTCTTATGATTATAGAGACAATTGCTCCACATATATCCTAATACTCCGTCGAGCTACTAGGTTGTATCCAATTAACTGTGATCATCCGTCGATATCTCACCAACATTAATTGAACCCACTAAGCAACAATCAAATATCACCACAAATACCTAAAGTTATGTCTAGTTTAGGTCAATTATGTTTATCTTACGAGTTCTAGGTTCATAATTCTCCTATCAGTTCTTCTTATGAACCCCAATAATGGAAAATATGCAATGGCCAGTCACACAATCCACAATTAAAATACATAAAATAAATATAATCAAGTTCAATTATTAATCGAAATTGGAAGAATTAACACATGAAAAATAGTCAATTAATCTTGACAGGATAATAAGGCTGGCACCCGACCCGAATCATAAGTGGGCATCCGACTTGGCGCCATATTTGACCCGGCACCACATGGAAACCCAACAGACAGAATACCAACAGGTGTCACCTTTATTGCCATCGAAGCCACTATTGATGCCACCATTGATGAGAGAGAATTAAAGGCTTAGCTCCCCATTTATGGCACCCTGGTAAAAGTAGATGCTCCCCTCGGCTTGGGAGGACACATTGACTATTTTGTACTAAAACACTTGGCAATACAACTATTGTCACTCCTTTACATTGCGTTACTCTAATATTATTACTACCGGTAACATTTTTACTGTCATTGGTGCTTTCATTGAGAGCCTGAGTCTAACACTCAAGCAGGCAACGACACATAACTCATTCTCTCTTTCAACAGCAAGCTTGAAAGAATGGTGTCCGACAGCTCCCATGGTTCCTGCAACTTGAACAACGGCAACGCCTCAGGTGACCTTCGAGACCAACTCACCAACAATCGTGGAGGGGACCTCCGAGAACTTCTCAATAACGGGAGGCCCAGGGACCTTCAAAAACAACTTAATAATGGAGGAACAAACCAAGCCATAAACCTCCAAGCGACTGCCGATGCCATTCGGCAAGCGGCGACAGCCCTACCTCATGCAGCGGCGGGATTGCAAGGCCAAGTGCCCCCACCGCGGCCGCAGGAGATAGAGGTAGAGTCCCCACGAAGGATAG